CTGTCCCACGTAAGCCTCGAACACTTGACCCAGTGATGGAGGGCTAGTGATAACCCGCGATCCCCCAAGTTATAGAAGATGAGAGGAGTGGAGAAACAGGTTATTTCTTCTTCTTCAATATCTCCATAAGACACAGAAAACACAGAACACACAGAGGAAGCAGCCTGTGCTGCTGCGGAGGAGACAATTTACGGCCTCTTACGATGATATTTTGTGAGATACAACAGTAGCAATAAGAAACTGACTATTTTACGATAAGTGACTTTGATATAAAATGACTATAACCCCATGAATGAATATCATCAGCGTACGTCATAAATAGAGTCCAACCGATTGGAGTGTCGAGAGGGCACTAAAGTGGTATGGCAATCCGGAATTATGCAACCGATAAATAACCCTTACTAATCTGGTCGTATAGCCTCGTTATCACACTGATGATGTCGAGGCTATACGGACTTTTGGCTCGCCATGTTTTGTTTTGACCTCTTTTCATTTATTGCACTTTTTTACCGCAATGGATGTTACCATCCAGAGTGCAATACACGTAATAAATCGTGAGGTTTAATATTAATTGAAACATCAAAGACGAAGTGAAAACATCATGCGATTTTTCCATCGGTGACAAATGGTTGTCGGTAATGTTACAATTTAACGGCTGTTCTGTTCAACCTCCTCAAACTGCGAGAAGAATTATAATCTCACATGGTTTTGGAACGTCGTATGACCTGGAAGGCAATCTAACTTGAACCATTCACATACGAATGTATTTCTTAATGCAAAAATCATGGACGTACATATCTGATCATAACCAACAAATAATTGCACATTGTAGGAAGGAATGACGTCACGTTAAAGGGAGATAATTGGTTGAAAGATGCATTTCAAGCTGTTCTTTTCTCGAATATAGGTTAGGGCATTAGTAACACGACACCTGCGAGTGAGTTAGTAATCTGACACAATTTCTTGGTTTGTTTTTTTAAATGTGGGGAAAGGCAAGCAAGAATAATCCAACGAAAGGCTGATTAGATTTTTCGGGCGACTTTGATGACAGAATTTTCTCATTCGATAGTTTGCCATTACTTTTACAGTTGATTAAAACATCAAGAATACGATCTCATAGCTCATAGATGTCATCAAATAAAAAAATCAAATTGGCTCAAAGAAATTAATACATAAGGAAATACTCTTTCAATCGGAGTCGTCAAACTTTTTGATTTATTTGAAGTGAAATGCTGTAAATTAAGCGCTGTCGTGAACTTGATTTGAATTAATTAAAGCTGCATGATGATTGAGGAATAACGAGCGGTAGGGTCGATTCCACTCTTTACAAGAGCTCTGCTAAATGAGATGGATGCCTGTTATAAATTATGAATGTCGTGCCGGAGCTGGAGATAGCGTGCCGGAATTACCCGTCCGGCCGTGCTATCAAATTATAGACACATCAATGTGTCCTCGATCCACAAATTAGGGACTTGAAACGTGTTTAAGCTGAATCTTGGTGACGGCTCAGAGCCCGTGCTGATGGGATTGGAATATGAACCGTCTATTGAAGCTCAATAATCAAAACGCTCACATGCCGTCTACGATAGGTGGCGAAACCGGAAGTGGTGTTTTTTGATTCAATGCGCAACAAGTCTTCTGCAATACACAGAACAACAAGCTTTGATCACATCTTCTAATTTACATGGCGCCACACTTTGATCACGGAAATAGGAACTCTCCAATTACAACACCTAGATTTAAGACAATACACGTCTTTTCATTCCCGATAAAAGGCTTAACTTTTTCAATGTTTTAGAAAACACGGCAACAGTACATGTATCATTTTCTCTTCAACGTACGGCAACACGTGTGTATACTGTCTTCTATATTCGGCAAAAACAGCAAATGCTCATATCCTTTGTTTCACCTGTTCTATCTAATACGCGACAGCACGTGTCTAATTTTGGTAAGGATATATATATATATTGTGTTGATTAATGTGTATGCCAATTGTATTGATTGGATAAATAATATTTATATGTACTGTAAAGCGCTTTAGAGTGGCCTATTCTAGCTAGATAGGGCGCTATATCCAATGTTGTATATTATTTATTATTAAATATGAATACATATGAGATACATACGTACATACCTGTACTGTCAAAGAAAAGCGAATTCTCTCGCGGCGTTATTTTTTCTAGCAATGTACACGTGTTTGAATTAAAAAGATTTATCGGGGTTGGTAGCATAATGAAATGAATGAAATGAAAAAAATATTCCAAAAAGTATCAAATTAATAAAAAATATTTTTTCAACAGATCCATTATTTTCTCTCTTTTTAGATTGACTGCCGTGTTAAGTAAATGGCGCTATGAAAGACCTGCACATATACTTTAACCTCTTCAAAACTGTTGCCATTTCGGGAAAATCAAGTTTCAGTTTAACGAGAAATCAAATTAAACACTTTTTCCTTAACTGAAAATTTCTCGACATTGTAAACTTTGCTTGATTTTTTTCTAGTAAATTCTTTACTCAAATTAAGGGAAATTCTGACTTTTAGTCAAAAGACACCGTGACATGCTTGTTTATGTATATGATACCTGATCTAGGAAATATTGTTCGATTTGGTCATCATATGTTTTTTTATAATGATAAATAATGACTTGTGAATTATTCGTAGCCAAAGAAAGGCAGTAAAAACGAATTGCAAATGTCTATTATTGTGCGAGATACAAAGGAAAACCAGATATCAGAAATCGCCCTTTTATACAAAATGCCTACACGACGGAGATTATAAATCATATTCTCCGAAAGTCTTGACAGAAGTGACATCAAACCCATTCACACGTAACATTTGTGGCGCAAGCGATAACAGAACAAGCCTAATTCACGCCTTCAATATGATAGGATATATGGTAAACAAATACAATTGGCAGCAGATCATCGACAACGACTTGGTTCCTCAGGCTAACGCCTATATCAACATACCAATACATTGACTGAAAGCTTAAGTGTAAACAGACGTGAATCTTCTGTGATAGACACGTCGCTTATATACACAACGTAGAAAGATATTTCTTGGAAACATGAATCAGTTATAACCATATAAGGACATTTCCTGATACATGTGTGTGTCGGCTTTGATTTTTAATGTATCTTTCAATCCCTGTGATTCTACTATGATTAAAACTTCTAATTTTTATTCACGAACAAATAAAATAATCTTTTTTTTTAGAAAAATGTTGCGGGCTTTGAAAATAAATGGGATTTTTTTTTTATTGCTGTTGACAATTCGATAATCCGTTTTGTAAAGTTTTTTGCCAGCTATACAGTTGAAACAATGTTTTTCTAACGAAATGTCGTTAGGGCTATCGGCTTTCTCTACTTCTAATGGTGGTTTCTGAAAGACAAGGTGACATTGAGTTAAAGTTTGTAAATATATATATCGTGGAGACGTCGATATATCAGTTCTGCTTTAGTTTGTTGTGTAACACATGGAAATTAAGAAATTGAATCTGTTATTGAACCGATATGTCGGCAGATTGGTCCAGTGATAAACTCAATGGCTCTCGATACAAATGATTGGGGAACGATCCAAGTATTTTTTTAGTAAAATTGACAACTGCCAACAGTCACCAGATTTTTCCCGATAGGTAAAACGAGTTCACTTGCTTGACCGCCGGAAGTCAGAACCAACTGCTTTTGGCAGTCATTGCGTTTGAAAACGTTTACATTTCCCCTTTGCATTATGGGAGAAACGGAAATAACGAAGTAGTTCAATTAGAATGTTAGAATGCGTTGGCCAAGTGGTTAAGGCATCTGATATCCTGCTACCACAAGCTCGCCATCACTGGGTATCGGGTTTGAGACCTACGTGGGGCAGTTGCCAGGTACTGGCCGTAGGTCGGTGTTTTTTCTCAAGTGACTTCGGCTTTCCTCCACAACCAAAACCTGGCACGTCCTTAAATTACCTAAGCTATTAATAGGACGTAAAACACAAACAAACCAAACCAATTGGAATTCGGAAAAAAACCGGTGTACATCCGAATGACCATCTTCAACTTTTTGTTATTTGTTTTACGAACCGATTCACTTTTAATTACTTCGTCCTTTGGACTTGAGCCGAAAACGAAAAGAAACTGAAACTTAAAGCCAAATGAGCATATATGTCCTAGGATTCAAAATGATGAGTTCCGAAAAAACATTCGTCTAACGATATCAATTTATTTCCCCTTGGTCATACAGTCGATATATAAATAGCAACAGTGACCTTGACGTTGACCTTGAGAACCTGAAATATAAACTCACCCCGAGGAAATCTCATAATTGACATTTGGATAAACTTTGAAGAAAATCTATTCAGAAGTGAAGTTCGTATAGCATTGACAATGAATCGGGACTGGACGCCATAGGACGGATTTTGGAAAAGCTACCCCCTCTCCCCAATCGCCCAATTAAGTGGCGGGAGCATACACATGCAAACTTGACTTAGTGTATCTCATACTTCCTTCCGATAATGCTTAAACTATTGCAGCTTGTTATAACTGTATCCATATTCCTTATATAGAAAATGTCCCCCGGGACCATTGTCTTAGTCTACATCAGAGGTAAACGAGAGACCCAAGGTTATCGTATTTCTGCTGTGGGTCCATATCAGCTACGACACAAGGTGGTTACTTAGTCCGGTTCAGAGTCTCAGCGGATTTCTTTATCACCCAGACGCTTGTAATGGAATCTCGTAGAGTTATTTCCTTTATCACAAACACGCTTGTTATTGAATTTCATGAGTTATTTTGTATCACTAAAACGCTTGTTTAACACTCAATTAAACTTATGCATGGCTCCACGTCAAGTGTAAATACTTTATGGATATAGCAAGATGCCACTTCATTCCGTATAGGCAGTAGAGTTACCAATAACAGTAGGCAAATCCTCCTCGAGATAACGGAATAGTCGTATTCTCAAAAGTTCCTAATAACGAAAACAGTATCGAGATGGACGAAGTAAAAATGACTTACCTGCTAAATAAATCGATATTTAGGAAGACGTATTCGCCGTTGTCGAAGTTGAGTTCATGGGCTTTGATCATAATATCACGGACAGAGTCAGCGGACGCACAAAGGACCACAACTGTAATAGAAAGACAGACGGACATGTTAGACAAAAAGACAGACGGACGATTTAGACAAACATAATGACGAAATGGATATACAAATATATTTCTGTACAAAAATTGGACATACATTTCCTAACATCTAAAAGACAAAGTAATCATATCTGTACGGACGCAAAAGAAGGACCACACTTCTGAAATAAGGACGTGTCAGACGGACGGAGAGAAGCACTTTCTGTTTGACAAACTTATTACACCTATACATATAGCTAGTGGTTGCACGCAAAATAAATCATCTCCACAAGAACTGTCATATTTAAGAAAAATGTACTAATAAAAAAAACCATGAAAAAAAAGAAACTTTCGCAAAAAAAACGTAGCGAAATGTACATTGCATGTGAAACAAAGACGCAACGTCACTTTTATGGAAATATATTTCAAATAAGAACAAAAGGACATGCTTTCCGGATGAAGAATGAATATAGGCTAACGGTTGATTTGTAATCCATATTATTTATTTTATTTCTACGCATCGGGTAGGATAAACATTGTTTAAACTAAATGGAATTGTCAATGGTGAATTAGCATTTCGGAACACCGCGTCGAACAGGCTTATGTTATGCAATGTTGGTGACTCGACTCATAATGAAGACGAAATGCTGCAAGAAATTACCTCGGCGAAGGAAAATTAAACAAAGTAATGGAAACAGTCGGAGACAACAAATCTCTAAGAATGTAAGCCCAACGGATGGCTCCCAATTGGCTGGCATGGATAAAATAATGCTCTCTTGGTCTAAATTAGGTTTCCATAGTACTTAAGGTATCAAACAATTACTATGTCGACTGAACAACCGTAGTTTTGTCTTTTGATAGTACTACGTCACACCATCCAACAGTTTCTAGTTTGACATTCATTTCCTTTGAGGATGCTAGTCCCAAATTCCACAAGTTAATTTCGACCGTTTTGAATTCACTACATAAAGCACGTTTAATACCTTGATTGGCTAGATATGTCTTCATCACTTGAACGTTTGCTTTTTTAAATCTGGAAGTGATCCATCTTTTAAGGGAAGGGAAAATCTAATTCCAAAGAATAGATGGATTTTGAGTGTTTCATGATTGGATTATTTTGTGAATGAGTTTCACCGGTTGAGAATTATTTGTGCCGTCCATAATTCGACACCATCACGTGAGCGTGTCTTCGCCTTTTGCTTCTCGATGTTCACTTACACGGTGTATTATGTATAGGATCGTTAATGGGGTTTCAAAGCTTTTGACAGGAACTCCTTAGAACGAGTAATGGGTGTGAAAATGTAAGAGGAAATTCGTAGATCAATATACTGCACGGATTCCGAGCAACACCTCACTAAAATGTCTGGGAATAGGCCTGGCATACATTAGTTAGTTCGTTTTATCTTCCGGGTAACAGGTTTCTGTACAGTTAAAAATATTCGCGGTGTGATATAACAATTTTCGCGGATAAAACAGTTTAACACTTTACCGTAAAATTACATTAGCGCTGTTTAATTTGGTCACTGTTTGTTTAACTTTGTAGAAAAACGCATAGGGCTTATAATCCGGAAAAATCAGGTTTCGGTTTGTTTAATGTTTAAGCGTTCTTACATTAGATACATGTAAGATCATATGTGAAAGGGTGTCTATGTAGATTAAGCCGAAAAGATGAAGAAGTCGGGAAAGAAGAATGTAAAATATAGAGGCTACAAGTACTGTGAAACCAGATACCATCGTGACTTCCCCGAAAACACCATTTCGTTGTTACATGTGCAAAAACAAATCGTGGATTACAAGTACAAACTGTACCAACTAATATGGAGAATTGCTTTATGTCAAATTTGTAATTACCACGTGGACCTATGAATTCGAAGATTACGAAATTAAAATCCCACATATTCACAGTATTCCGTCTTTTCGTATTGCAGAGCTGTCTGCTCTTGTGAGCAGGTATTGATTGTTACGTCATTTGTTTGTGAGAGTAACGTCATTAATATTTGAGAAAAGACGTAATTTTCTCACACAAACCAATGACGTAACAATCAATACCTGCTCAAAGGAGAAGATAAGGAATTGCAATGGGGCCAGCGGATACGTTCCGGACTTTTCAATGTCTCCTAAGTAAAAGACACCAAACAAAACTCACGATTCTGCAGGAACTAACACACCAGTGCCTCTCACATAAACGTGCAGTGTGATACGGCGACCTATTTTTCTGACCCTGCACAGAATGAACTATTTGGTTACCTGTTGAAATTGAATGACATAACTGAAAGTACATTTTATATTCAGCTCCGTGCACTTCAATGCTTGCTTTTCTTTGTTTTTATACGCTTGAATGCTAGTGTCCTAAACGTAAAAAAATTAGAAGCAAAATTTGGTAGGAATTTCATGCGGTGTCCATGTGGTACATAAGACTAAAGGCCAAATAATGTATATTTGTTTCAGGGTAGCATGACTGAAAATGAAAATATAGGGTAAGTCGGTAAGGTTTTATTTTCATTTATATTTTTGGGAGGAGGAAGGGGGG